TTCATCCCAGCCGCGCCAAGAGCCACGCCCATCTTGGATAATTTCTGGAAACTGTAGAGCGAATGAGCGGAAAACTGCCGAGTCACATGGCCAAGTACAATGACCAATAAGTAAGCCTCACGAGCGAAACAATCCATTACGGAATCGCGGTTACAAAGGCCGATTGCTGTGAATGAAAATTTGTTGCGTAATGGGGCAGCGATAAGAAAGTGAAAACTAAATGTTAAAAAGTATAAACGGTACACACGTCGCCTCATTTCCTGCCCGTTTTCATCGTGTGCCGGAGTCGTTTGAAATTAGATTTCAAAGGCCCGGGACCATTAGTGGCCTCCTCCTTTGTCCAGGTCCTGTCTGTCCCGTCCCAGGCAGTCCTGTCCGGGATCCCGCCCCCTCTTAGGGGCTGGCAGGAACCCACAAACATCCTGTTGATGTCAGCAAATTTTATTTATTTGTGGTTCGTGTTGTATTACAGCGTTTTAGAGCAATTAAAATTGTACAATGGCCGGGGCATTTTGCATGCTGCCCACCGAGACTGCCCAAAAACTTGGCCACAGTCTATTTGGGCGCATTTTTGCTTCTTTTTTAGATCATTTAGCAGCCGGGCCAAAGTGCCTAATGATATATTGACTTTGCCTGCGCCGGCTGTTATGTTTCAAACTTTTATGGCTATTCTTGGTCTAATTGCCCGCGGTGGGAAGGTAAAACTCATTAGATTAAGTGATAGCAGTTCTCTTTATGGCCCTATCTCGCTAACTGGAATTAGCTGGCCACTGAAAAGTAGGGCCAAGGATGCTGGATACCTGGCAAAAAAAAAGAAGGCAGGATAATCGAATGGCAGTGGCTCCCACATAATGTCTGCTCCAAATGGGCGGGGATTGTCAATGAAAGCTGCTCGGGAATTGCAACTGGTTTGGTTCCATTGTTCTGTCGTTTTGCCCTAGATACAGAGCCTCTCTGGGTTTTTTCTGCCTCGCTAACAAGCTTACGGACGGATGGCCTACGGGCACGGGCTCATTCCCCAAATGTATGCCAAACAAGCAACGGGGCGTTCCATTTCATTAAAGTTTCAAGGCGTACTACGCGGCGTATGAGTGATACTAAAAACGAAGCAACAGCAGTTAAACGGGCGGGGTACACATTCTAAACACTCGTCGGAGCTTGGCAACCTACACAGCGAATTAAAATTGTTGAAATTTCTTAAATACATGTCTAAAAGTATGCAGTACCTGAAATTCAAGTTTTAAAAAATTTTGTTAAATACTTTTAGACACCTTAACACATTTTTTTTTTAAATTTGTTTTTTTTATACGTGGTTTCTAAAATTATGCAGTACTCGGAATTCCGGGCTAAAAATATATGGTTGTATACTTTTAGACACCATTATTTGGGGCTTAAAATTAATATATATTTTAGTTAATCTGCTTGATCTGTTAATTGTATGCTTTGTTTCCATTCTTCCTAATATTTTTTCCCCTGTAGGAGTGCCAAACTCGCATATGAAGTGGCCCTTTTCTTGGCAGTTTCCACCGCACAGTGTGCAAAAGTTGTAAAATTTGCTGTTTTGCGCCAAAGGGCACACACCCAGGGCAGGATACATACACAACACTTGGGGCGAAAAACGAAAACTCGAGGACCTGTCGAAATGTCTTGGGGTGTGGCAGCGACAAGTCCGTGAAGAAGTCCGTAGTCCGTAGTCCGTGGTCCGCAGTTCGGAGTCCTCAGACCCAAGTCCGGGGAGTAGGCACTCGCCTTTATTGGAGTGCAATGAGCTGTAGTCTGGTTCCCGTCCCGTCCTGTTCTGTTCTGTTCTGTTCCCAAGTTGTTGCGCACAACATGCTTAATTAGTTTCTGAAACCAAAGGGGCTGTGGCTGAGTCCGGGGTTAGAGGTGCTGGCCATGTGTGAGCCAAGTGAAAATAATTTGCGGCTTCCAGTTTCGGTTGGCCAGCGAGGGTTTTTAATTAAAAGTGCCTGCTACCAACCTGGACCCTTCCCCTTTCCCATCCCATCTCCATCCCATCCATCATCAGCAATCCCCAGAACGTAATGCAAATGAGCGCCAAGTAGCCGTCGTCCGTGGACGGAAGATCCGCTTCGGAGATGCGGTGGCTGTGTTTACGGCGGAGTCCCGAATCCCGCATCCTGAATCCTGAATCCTGCGCCGTGTGTGCAGCCAACCAAAAGCACCAGCAAACGGCGGCGGAAGCGGATGCCATAAAGTGCTGCCACCGCACGGGCCGAAAATAAAATGGCCGCCGTGCGAGGACTCAGGGACTCATACACTGGCCGAAAAAATGTATACAAGATACCTTAAGAGATATCAAACATTCGGAGATTTCAGTATGTAGAGATTTTTCTTACGTCATTATACCCTTGAGTTGATAGAGATATAAAACTTCTAGTTGTTCACACTTATGAGTTGTGATTATAATCTGAAAATACGAAATAATGTTTTTTAGATAGGTAGGGAGTTTAAAAGGTATTTAAACTAATATAAAGGTTGGACATGTTTTTCCTTAATGTTCAATATTTCAGTCGTCATAATATTTGAGTTACGTATCTGTTACGCAATTTTTGGCTTGGGTGAGATTGAAATCCGTTTCCGAGTGTATGGAAATGTGCAGCGGGCCCCGTGACGAATGCTGGGCCGTGGGAAAGGGCCCAAACGGGCGCACACACATTTTAATGACAACGACGTGGCCGACAATTCAGTTATGGGTCTCATGGCACACCAGCCAGCACAACAGCCGAAACAAAAATGGGGGCGGGGCAAACCAATCAACTGATTTAGTGCACGATGGGCTGCCCCCCTGTCCCCCTGTCCCCCCGTCGCCGAGCTCATCCTTTTCGTCCTTTTGGTCCTGGGGTATCAGCAAATGCAATTCGTTTGCTGATTTGTCATTGTTTGGTATGGCTGGTATGCCGGCTGTCCCCACAGCTCAACTTGAGCTGATTTACAAATGAAATCATACGCCATGGCGGGCATTTCGGTAATGAAAATTCAGCCATAAGGGAAATCATTTTTCCGGCTTTTGTTCTATTTCGGCTGTGCCAGTGACTGTGCCGTGCATCCTTTTCCCTTTTTCTTTTTTTGGGGAGCAGGACGAACAGGCACCGCACACTTAATGCGATTTTTGCTGCTTGCTTGTTGCCCGGCTTTTAGTTTTGATGTGGTTGTGAAGGAGCAGAAGGAGCAGCAGGATGTGGAGGAGTTGGAGTTCCGAGGAGCCACAGGACGAGCCCAGTAGCGCTGAGGGATTCGAGTGCGCTCTATAAATAAATTTCGTTTTAATAAACTTGTCATAATGGCGCTGGCAGCGCAAAAAGTTTTAATAACGCTCCACAAACCTTGACGTTATTAAAATTTTACATGTCATGCCAGAAAGGATTAAATTCAACGCACAAGGACCCTGCGTGTGTGTGGGTGTATGCTGTGTACTACACTGTTCTCACCGGATGTATTAAGTTATGCATTAAAATGGCACTAATGACGTTTATACAGCTCTGTCAGCCACGAAACTTTCCACCCCTCCCCCCACACACACAAAAACATCCTGAGGGAAGCTTTGCTCGAGTTACTTAATTGCAGTGACAACATTGAATAAGGAAAGCAAAGGCTTTTCACCCTCCTTCCTCCCGGAATACCCCGTTTTCCTTTCCAGGAATGAAAATCGTTACAAAAATGCTTTGCCTGCAATTTAAAATGTCTGTGTGGGTGGCTGTTTCTGTGTTTCTGTGGCTTTTTGTGTTTTCCCTGGGTGAAAGGGGGAGTTTTACGGCAGCTGCTTATATTTACGTGGCCATGTAATGGCGGAGAAAAATCCCGGAAGATGGGACCCCGAGAGTTTCATTTTGTACAAATTGAGCGAATTCCGCTTAAAGCATTCCAAATAATTTAATTAAAAACACATTTCTGGCTTTGTACTCGACTGAGAATGACGGGGAATTTCCCTCACCTTTTTTGAATTCTGCATACTTTTGTGGGCGACTCATAAAACACGCTCGGATGCCATTTCAATTAACTGCAGCGGTCCCCAAAACGGTGCCCCGATCACGATCCTAAGATAAAGTGCCGGGTGGAAAAACTATCAAACAAAGGCCTATTCCCCTCCCCGTTCGCCACCAGTCTTCGACACCCAACACGAGTTTTACATTAAAACGCAAAGTTTTATTGGGGGAAAAGTTTGCTCTATTTGTATAGGAGCCTCGCAAGTTTCTAGGCCGCTCCTTTGTCAGGGGCTGGGCCTGCACCCCCATCTCAATCTGCTAAGTGGTGTCCTTATCAGTTGTAGCTACAACATATTAGCTGCTTAATTTCACGGACGTGTGTGTGCGCCCACGGAGTGTTGAAATGGAAAACTTTTGTTTATTAATTTGTCAACGGCGCTTAGGTTGTCCAAGATGCTCGATAAGGTCTACCTGTCTGGGGAAATAACTTTTTTGTAATATGATATTGATGTTCAACCAAGATATGTTAGGGGTGTGTGGTGGAAATAGTTAGACTTATATTAACTTTCAACACTGTGTAAAACCTCGTGGTTAAATTAGATGTTTTTAAAAAAATTCTAGTTCCTAGAGTTGGTTTCAAATCATTACCGAAAGTTGTCTTAAACCTTCCAAAAACTTCTCGCATTAAGAGGAAAATTAGAAAAGTTCATTGAAAGTTTAAACAGTTTTTGGGATCAAACATAGGTTTTTGGGTTGAATAACAAGTAAATATTTGACAAGCTGCACTTGAAGATGGGCTGGGTTGACCCACAGGAGGTAGTCTAACCACTGAGGTGGGGGATGGAGGTGGGTGGCCTGGGAGGATCTCCGGTGACACTTGACGTCTGACACTGACGGCTGTGATGGATGACGGCTGAGGGACGTGACAGCTTCATCAAGTGCAGCCAGGTGCGACTGCATGGCGTTCATTGATGGCAACATTTACCGCAATTCACTCGCAACAATGCCGATGCAAAGCTCTGACAGAATCTACCCCTTCTTCCTTTTTTCCAGATGACGCCACTGCCGGTGAGAAGGATACGTTAGGGCGGCGTCGAACTATGGGAACAGAGGCATGGGCGTGTGCGCGGACCTTGGGTCTCATCGATGGTGTCGGGCATTGAGCACCACCCAGCACAACAGCACCCAGCAATCGAAGGAGCAGGATCAGCAGCTGGATCAGCAGTCCCTGGAGATCCCTTCCAGGAGTCCAACGACGATTCCCGCTACTAAAACGCTGACGGCATCGCCGGCGAAGACGGCAGCTTTCACAGTGAAAACGACGAGGAGAAGACGAAGCCGGCGAAGGGCAGAAGGCAGCTCCATCTGGATTCCCCTCTGGAAAGGTCAAGGGTCAACGCCTACGATACAGGTGCTCCAGCTGGTATTGGTCTCGTTGCTGGCCCTTCTAGCGAAAAATGCCCAGGCGCACAACATTCCAGGTGAGTGCAGTGCAATCAAGTTGCTTAATTAAATCGCCCCGAAAGCCTCGACTATTCGCGGCCAAAATTTCATTTTGAAAATTTGATAAGCGCCCGTTTCTTTGCTCTTTTCGCCAGCTGAACTCTGAAAAGGGCGCATGTGTGGAACTTGATTTTTATTCAGTACTCAGTACTCGGTGCTCGGTGCCCTGTGCTCGGGAAAATGTAATGGCGCACAATAAGCGGCTTACGTGCGGCCAAAGCTGATTACATTTGGCAATTAGTTGACAGTTGGGCGCAGCCCCGAGTGAACCGCTGGCCAAAAAAGAGAGAGTAGAGCTTTTATTTAGGCCTTTTGATTTATTCGTTCCCGGCGAATCTCTCGGTGATTACAATGGGTGGCCCCGAAAATGGTGATTTTTTGGAATGTGTGATCGAATTTGTTGAAGTGGTAACGATGGTTCTGAATTTCAAAGGTTTTAGGCAGGCTTAGATTTTATTTGCACAATTTTTGGCTTTTTTAGTATACTAGTTTGTTTTATTTTTCGAAATGGAAATTCGGTTTCTGTTTTTAGATTTTTAAGTCAAATTAAATTCGATGTTCTCTAATCCTACCATAAAAACTCCACTTTGATTTATCAGTAGTTTGATTATATTTTTGGGGTATTTAATTCATCTCTATTTCACTCAATTCATGCATTTGAAAGTTGTGAGGTTAACTGCCTACCAAAGAACCGTTCGTGAACTTCAGCCTGCCACTAAATTCAATGAACTGACCTTCACTCGCATTTTCCGTCCTATTTCCGGATAGTCCCCCCATCCTTCCAAGGACATTAAGAGTTGCCACTGGCTCCGCTCAATGTACCGTGGCGTTCTTCGTTCCTCGCTCGTCGAGTGAATTAATTCAATTTAATTTAGCCGAAAATTGGAAAAACCGCTTGAGATTCCTTCGCCATGACAGCGCAATGGCCACTTTGCAGCACGGTCGAAAGGTCAACGTCAAGTTGAAGGCTATGCGGAGGAAGGGGCGTGGCTGATGGCTGATGGCTAGATGGGGAATGCCGAAATAAGTTCCTCGAAGGCAACTCGACTTGGCTTTAATCAATGAAAACAAAGTGCGCCTCGCTGAATAACTCAAGCCAGGAACTCGTGTCAAGTGGTGGTGGGTGGGTGGCAAGTTGGTTAGCAAGTGGAAGGGGCCCTGAGTAGCGAAAACGTCTGCCTTTGGCTGAAGGACATTCTAAATGGAATAATGAAACCACTTTTGCATGTTAACGCCATCAAAAGGCGCGACAGAGGCGAAACACACGCGGGTACTTTGGCATCCTGGCTTCCCAACTTCCTGACTTCCTGCTACCCTCGAGTACTTCACTTGGCTCTCGGCGACATGTCTGCAACATTATCAAAGGGCAATAGACGAACAAGTGCCTTGACTGCGCACTGAGAGAAATAGTTTAGATCTTACAACTGCATAGTTTGAATTTGCTTGGGGTCTAATCACGTTAGGAATCATACTTAAATGTTGACTGACTAGCTGGATTTTATTACTACATACTAAAGGTTGCCATCACTTTAGGAAATTTACTATACTGTATATGATCTTATGACACTGGCTTAATATTCGGATAGTGTGCAAACAGTGCCAAAGCAAGTACTTCAAGTACTTCTTAAACTATTTGAAGAGATTATAGTGATTTTAGTTGAGGTGTGGTATTTCAAATGGTTCTTAGGGTTGTACTATCCATGTATTAATCCAATAAGTGAAAGCCTAATTTAAGAAAAGGTCCTAAATGTTTAAGAAAGTCGTTTCTGACGATGTCCAATGTAAGTTTTCATAGCTGTGGATTCCTTTCTCCCAGTGCATGCTTCTCAGCATAATCACCATTGCCAACCCCATCAAAGTCGTTGTCGTCATTGTTTTTGTGTCGCTCCTGATGTTGTTTTCTGTATTTTTTTTCGGGAGCAGCCAGCGGAGGCTGAGTGGCGATGCAAATAGTCTGCCAAAGCTGGCCAAGTTAACATAAATTTATGCAAATGCCAAAGTCAACAAGCGAGGAGTGCATAAAGCTAGCTAGCGAGTGAGTCAGTGGATGACTGAGTGACTGACTGGTCGAGTGTCTGATGGAGAGGAGGTTAACAAAGACGTCATGTAGCCGGAGCCCAAGTCCTTGACAGGCCTTTTCCCATCTCCAGTGAGAACTGGAACGGGAATTAATGCAAAACGCATTAAGTTGATTTTTTTTGCCGGACAACGCCCCAATCAAAAGTGGTTGGCCAGCCCGAACAATTGCCTTCGGACATTGGTAGTTTGCTTAACCCTATTACCGACACAGATACAGTTGGATCTGGATACAATGGCAGAGGAGGGGGGATGTGGCATGTGCAGGCAGGTCAGAAGTTGTTTGTTAACAAGTTTAGGGTCATCATGCCAGGGCCAGAGATTCCGAGCTCTCGGCAGCAGCTGCACAGGCTCCATCGCCATCTTCAAGTGGCATAGAGCATCAACCCCCCACAGACACACACACTCGCACACTCGCACACATGTGTGTAACAGGATATGCTCCCTTATTGGATTGGTCTCCAGTTTACTGTTGTTGTCCTGCTGTTTCCGACAATTCATTTGCATTTCCGTTGCCGCTTGCCGAGCTTTGAGCTCTGCTCCAATTGTAAACGAAATTTTCAGCTTGGTTGACCATGTCAACGGCTCAGAAAAGCTCATGGAGCGCCCCCTGGCGGTGAAGGGTGCCAGTTTGGGGGCGGTGCATACATAAATAATGCCCAGCACATTCGCACCTCGGGGCAGTCGCCACAGCACAGAAATGAAGCGTCCGTCAAAGGCAGGAACAAGGAGCCTAATCAGCGCCTGTCAAGTGCCCACCGCAGTCCATCCTGGCATCCTCGTCCTCATCGTGGCACCCACTCTTGGCCACAGACAGGTGACAAACGCTAATGAAATGTCACGACTAGTTGTCAAGGGAGGGACATTCGGTTGAAATGCTGGAAAGCAACTTTTCGTCAGCCAGAGAGCTCTGTCCCTCTGATTTCTCACTCTGTGTGTGCGTGTGGTCAATAACTTTTATTCAAGAGGTCAACCAACATGCACAGAAAAAAACCATACTCTGCATTCAAGCTAAATGTTTTAAATAAATAGATCTAATGATTACGAGTTGAGAGTAGTGGAGTTACATTGGATTTTGTTTGCCTTGAAACGACTAGTCACATCCATTTTCTACTGTCCCTATCTAGGCAGCTTGGATCACTATAATTTTAGGCATCACCTTTTAGATAAGATGATCGGGATACTATCGCCATCATAATTTTCTTACTGTCCATATCTAAGTAAAAAAAAGTCAGTTATTAGAAACACGAAACAAAATGTAACGTGAAAATTGGGTAAGATTTCGACCATCTTAAGAGAAAAATTTTAAAATTCCAACATGAAAATGGGTTAAAGACTTGACCCTCGTCTTGAAGAAAAACATGAATGCAGAACGTAAGAGAATTTAACCACAAACTTATAGAGGTATTCCACGTCCAAATCGGAATCCAAAAACTGAAGTTATGGAATCTAGAAGTAGAGTTTTGGGTTCCAATTTTGTTAGCCATGGGAAAACATACGGAAAATTACAACATGAAAATGGGTTCAAAACTTGACCCTCGTATTGAAGAAAAACTTGAATGCAGAACGTTAGAGAATTCAACCACAAACTCATAGAGGTATCACACATTAAAATCGGTATCCAATTACCAAAGTTATGATATCTTGAAGTTCAGTTTTGGGCTCCCATACTGAAAGCCATTGGCATTACGGAAAAATCGAACATGAAACTGGGTTAAAAACCTAACCCTCGCTTTGGGGAATACTATTAACGTAGATTATTAGAAAATTTCTCCACAAACTCATAGAGGTATGCCACTTCTAAATCGGTATTCAATTACCAAAGTTATGAAATCTTGAAGTACAGTTTTGGGCCCCATACTCCCATACCATTGGAATTACGGAAAAATCTAACATGAAAATGGGTTAAAAGTCTGTCCCTTGCCTTGGAGAATAATATTAATGTAGATTAATAGATAAATTCCCCACAAGTTCATAGAGGTATGCCACTTATGAATCGGTATCGAATTAGCAAAGTTGTGAAATCTTGAAGTACAATTTTTGGCTCCCATACTAAAAACCATTGGCATTACGGAAAAATTGAACATGAAAATGGGTTAAAAATCTGACCTTCGTTTTGGAGAATAATATTAATGTAGATTACTAGAGAATTTCCCCACAAACTCGAAGAGGTATCACACAATCCAATCGGTATCCAATTACCAAAGTTATGAAATCTTGAAGTACAGTTTTGAGCTCCCATACTGGAAGCCATTGGAATTACTGAAAAATCGAACATGAAAATGGGTTAAAAATCTGACCCTCTCCCCAATGAACAATTTTGAATTGGAATATTAGAGAATTCAACCACAAACTCATAGAGGTAACTTACTTCAAAATCGGAGTTTCATAACTCAAGTCACGGAATCTAGAAGTGCAGTTTTGGGTTCCCGTTGTGAAAGCCTTTGCAAATACAAATCTTCGTATTCAAAACATCATATTTCTGAAAAACATTGAGTAAAGTTAGATAAAAGTTAATTTTTGTTTCTGTTCCTTAGAATCTATGGAATATAATAGCTTGGGCCAATTTAGGTTATACCGCAAATTTTTTTCCAAGTGGTTCCCGAGTGCATTCCTCTGCATATTCTGCCATAGTTTCAGGACCACACACATTCACAATCACCGACTTTCAATGGGATAACTGATTTCCAAACCAAAATGGAAGCCGGGTCAGCTATTGGTCCCCTGGGAGGGATGGCGGGGCCAAAACATCAGTCAATGACCAGCACTTGACATGTGACCGACATAGCCATCAACAAATCCATTTAAAAGTAACCCCTGGCACGATGGTTTTCCCATTCTTTCTGTCAGCGGACGGGGCTGGGATGGATCGGGATGGGATGGGAGGGCTGGACATTCGTCCTGGGCCACGTAAATCGTGCTGAATGTCACGTCTAAATAGAAAGCAATAACGAGGACGGGACTGCGGCTGCGGAATTGGCCGTATTATGGGCGCATCACGTTGGGGAATCCTGGCTGCGGTGGGAGTTCCCATTGGCCGGTGTGTAACAAGTCATGTATACAGCTGATATCCTTTCTCTCATCCTTTTTGCAGAAGACGCCGTGCACATCACGGCCATCCTCGGCGAGGGCGTCATCTTCAACTGCCATGTGGAGTTCCCCAACGACCACCCCGTGCCATATGTCCTGCAGTGGGACAAGAAGGTGAGCGAAACGGTACGATATCACAGTTAACATTTCTTCTCTAAACTCTCTTTTTTACATTGTTGTTCCGATACGCAAAAACAAAGCAAGAAAAAGTAAGAAACAGTCAGTCAGAACAGACAGACCACGCAGTAAACGAATAAAGAACTACCAACCTATTCAGTGTTTTTTCTCAACTAATACGTACAATACCATCTTATTGAGCCTTGTCCCCTGAAATCAGTTACTCAGCCTGAGTTCGATTACCTTTTGAGTTTATTAACCGTGCCTTAAAGCTTACAAAGCAGCAACCAAATTAACTTAAACCTAAACCAGTTGATCCGATAACCGAACTTTGCCAATGCCCGTGTTGTTTGTTGATGTCCATGCGATACAGATAACCATAAGTTATAGCTTGAGATGTATGTGTTTATGTGTTTCCACATTGGTAATTTGAGTACTTTATTTCCTCAGTTTGGTTTCAGTTCGCCTTGGTTCTCATTCAACCATCAACCTTTATCCTCCGGCCTGAAATCGGGGGACTATCCCGATACCGATACCCCGACCTGCCCCCAAATCACCAGCCTACACAGCATTTGAAATAGGCAGGCTTTCGGCTTCCAGCGGCCGCTTCTGATCGGTTCTGGGATCGGATTCTTTGCGCCTCCTTTAAGTTCGCAGCCCACAAGACAAGCCACACAGAACACACAACACACAACACACACACGAAACACACCCAATATTCGACACTTTGAATCGAATTATTTTTGCGGCATTCGAAAACACGAAAGATTAAATTAATCAAATTATTTGTCAATTGAAGGAACGGGCTTCACAGCACCCGGACCAAAGAGAGCGAAAGAGAAGAAAGCAGTCGAAAATTCACATTCCACCAATAAAAGAAATCGAAAATGAAATTCCATTTGCAAATCAAATCAAATCGAAATTCGTTCGCAATCGACAGCATACACAAAAATCTAGCTTAGCTGCTCACTGCTCACTGCAAAACCAAATGAAAATGAAAACAGTTTCCACTCCCGTTTAATCCTCAACCATGCAAATCCCAAACAATTAGCCACAACCATTCATAGTCGAGCAAAAATATTGAAAACAAATTAGTCACATTGCCAAGACTTTAGTTGCGAGTGTTCGAAAACTCTTTCATGCCGCCTGCACCACCCGAACCACCCGAAAACCACCCGAAAGCCACCCAAAACCCACCCAACCACCCATAGTGGCAGTCGGAGTTGGCAGAAATATGCTAATGTTTGGCAAAGTTGAGCCGCAGATAAACAGAGCAAAGATTCGTTTGGAATTCCATGAGGATGGCTGCGCAAACTTTTCAGCTCTGCCACTCGGACCATCGATTGATGGCAGGGCAAACTCAAGTGGCATATTTTTGGCATTTTCAACTGCCACTGCACATTCCCGTAGGATAAGCAAATTTAATTCCAATCAAATAAGCAAAGGCGCAACGAAACACCCATTGCATATAGAGCACCGCCCAGTCACCCAGTCACGTCTTTTTCTCCACTCATCTTTTTCATTTGGCGTTTTTGTAATGTAATCCAATTATTTTCCCAGCCTCTTCTGCATGCTTAGTGTGTAGCAAACTATTTTACCTCGCCCTTAACTTTAGTCGTTCTGATGAGACTCCCTAAGAAATTACGTTTTTCACTATCAATTTAACATTATTTAAAATTTTTTTTATTTCGCTTAAACTTGTGAGTATCAAACTGATATTTTCTAGCCGTGTATACACTCTGCTGCAAAGTTTGATGAAGCCAACTAACGTGGGCAACCTCAGCTCAGCGACTTCAAACTGAACCACGACCTCAAACAGCTTACTTTCCATAATTTCCAGCACGCCTAAGCCAACTTTCTTGGGGGCCGAAGCCCTGTGCTGCAGCTCGATGGCAAAAACCAAGGAAAACCGCAGGGATAATAAAGTGGGAAATGCCAGCGATGGCAGCCAGGATAAAAAGGACGAAGGCGTCGTGGGCGTCAAAGTCACGACTGTCCTTCGCTTAGCGAAATGCAGCCAAAGTTATGCGCATATATGTGTGTTGTGCTGGGCAGATAACGTCTCCTGCCTCCTGTTTTTTCGAGCCAACTTAAAAGTTTTACAAGCAATTTTAATGCCAAACAAAAGTTATAAGCACTGCAAAAAGTATGTTTATGTTTTGTCGCGATAAAAATACGCACACCGCAGGGGGAACGTCGGTAAATGGCCGAATTAAAGGGATAAACATGGCTTTAGCTTTTAATTTATGCGCTCGTATTTCTCTCACTCGCATTTCCCCTGCCTTGGCCCCGTAATTACATACATTACTGGCCCGTAAATGCGAAAGAATTTCATTAAAGGCTGCCTACTTTCCTGCCTGCCCTTTAAAGAGAAAGCGAAAGCCCAGGAGGACGGGGTCTGGCGTTGCCTTAGTTGCAATCTAAATTAATTGCTACTGAATAAATTAAGCGGAAAAATGTTTGCCAAGCCAACTTATGACGCTTCTGCGAGTGCGAATATTAATTTTGGCCCGGGTCCTTGGCTGTCTGCCTGTCTGCCTGTGTGTCCTGTGACCTTTTCGCCCCCCTTTCACTGGGCCGAGCTGCCAGGGCAAGTTATTTCATACGTCAGCCGAGGAAATTATTAAAACGTCTATAAGTTTTAATAAGCGACACATACACAGGGCCCATCTCCGTCCATCTCCCCCGTCTAATTAGGGAAATAAATCGATTAGCCCGGCCCGGGATAACGTGGCGTATGAGCAATTTGCTTACCAATTATTAACGTATACGCAATTACGCCGCCATCCATGGGCACTGGCATTTAGTACTTTCTGGAGAGATAGGGTGCTAATGCCTGGCCAGGTCCAGGTCCTGTTGGTCATGCGAGAGAATTCGAATCGAAAATGCACTCGGTTCAATGCGTTTCGGGGAGGCGGTCCTGTGAATAAAATAAACAAAGGCCCGGGCTGCACATGGATGGGTTGAGCTTTTGAGGGCGAGTGCAGGTTAACCCCAATTTTTGTTGCCTGCCTCGAAATTTATATTTCACATGCACATTTTTTATCTGCACAAGCTAGAATTTCAAATGTATCTCTTTGGCCCTCGTCGTTTTAGTTGTTTTACTCGTTTTAGTTGCAGTGCCACACTCACATGATTTATTGTTGCCAGCGTGTCCCTGGCACAGAACAAAAATACTATGTGTATGGGGCTGGAGATGGGGATGGGGCTGGGGGATGCCCATTTCCACCCGCTTTTCCTCCGGCTGTTGATGAGCATGCAAAAGGACGGAGGAGCAAGTGGTGAGCCCAGGATCTGGGGAGTTCGTGTTGACAGTGAAAATGTGTGACCATGTCTGTGTATATATCTGGTAGTTTGTTTATCTGCGAGAGCGCTTGTTTGTTGGCTGGCATGTTTACCATGCGGCAGCGCAATTTCTCCACGTTAACGTGATGAGTTTTTGTTTTGACTGTTTGTAGATTTTACTTTTACACAGACGGAAAACGCAGTTATGTCCCCCGCAGCCTTGTGTATGTGTAGCTATGTCGCAACTCAATTTATTTGCGACAGTTGTTAGTTGTTTGCGTTGTCTCAGCGGGAAACTTTCGAGAATTTCCGATTAGCTTTAATCCCCATTTGCACCTGCATGCCGCACACACAGTAGACTTAAGCGTTAAATGTATTGTAGAAGTTCGCATGTTACTAGCGCCAGCACTCACTGTTTTCTGTATGTGTACATATCCCCAAAAAACTCGCGACTCATAAACCGAATCATAACCCTAGGTTAAATACTGTCTGTACCTGTAAATGTACCTGTGTACCTGTTTCCAGTTGAAGCGTACCAGAAACCAGACTCTCGTTTGTCGTATGTACAAATGCCATGGCACATATTCCATGCATATAACGCATTCCAGACAGACCAATCAAGAATCAACTCTGATCCCTTGCCCGCTGACCTATCGATAAACTAATATGCGATTATGTCCTCCTCTATCAAGGGCTCCGATCTGCCCATCTACATCTGGTATGAGAGCTATCCGGAGCACATCGAGGAGGGCTACAAGGGACGCGTGTCCCGCGTGTCGCAGGACTCGCCCTTCGGCTCCGCCTCGCTCAACCTGACCAACATCCGCGAATCGGACCAGGGATGGTACGAGTGCAAGGTCGTCTTCCTCAACCGGGACCCCAAGCAGCATAAGAACGGTACATGGTTCCACTTAGACGTACATGCACCGCCGCGCTTTAGTGTTACGCCAGAGGATATTATATACGTTAATTTAGGTGAGTACAAATTGTGTAGCTATGAGAAAAAACTAATTATCGGTTTTCTCGATATATCGAAATATAATTTATCGATGAATTATAGAATACATTTTAAAGTTTTGTAGTAAATGCAGAGTTATCTGTGGTATTATATATGAATATATATATATGTTTGATATGCCCATTACTTTTTCCGATATCAAATGTATTATCTATTATTATTATAAAGTAAAGATGGTACATATTTCGAACAATTTGAATATCGGTATTACATCGTTATATCGATTTTGGGTACCATCTCTACCGTGTGCTCAAAACCAGCCGCTTTGCGCCCTGATAAATAGCGAGGCCATAAATAAGCGCATATTCGGCTGGCCAACTTATTTGGGGGCTGTCATCTCGCAGAATTAAGTGGAGTGCGACCCCCGCACGCCTTTGGCCCACTTTCGAGTGTGTCAAATGGGCGGCCATTTGTTGCAGCGCCCGAATGAGTTTGTCACCTTGAGAACTTGTACTCCCAGGAGTCGTAAAAAGTGCCACCATCCTTCTGAAACGAGTTATGGCCGCCCATTTGTCATCTTCCGATTCCGAAAAGCGTAAGAGGTTGGCCCACGAAAATCGATAAGCTCTTTATGCCCTCGCAATCGTATCAAATCAAATTTCCGCCGCTTAATCAAAGTTAAAATGTTTACAAGTCCAAGTGGCAGGCGTCGAAACAAAGGGCGCTTTTCGAGGGGCCGGAAATGCGTTGAGCGAAAATGGCGCTGCAGCGCATAAATCAGACAAACAATTCTGATTCTGGTCCTGAAAACTGTATACTGTAAACTGAAAGCCGAAGACAACGGGGCCAGTGAGGCGAGTAGGGAACTGCAACAAAGAGCCGGCCCGTTTCCATTGTCTGCCGCAAATGGTGGCAGGACGAAGGACAATAGACAAAGGACAGCCGAGCCGGAAGGAGGCGGCTTGTGGGTCCTCCTCGTCCTCCTTGAAACCAAAAAGCGTAACAATTGCCACCACTTACCTTATTAATTCCTCGCTCTCGCTCCCGTTCTCATTCTCATTTCGTTGTGGCGATGGCACCACATTTCCTTGCAGGTGATTCAATTATACTCAATTGCCAGGCAGATGGCACGCCCACGCCGGAAATACTCTGGTACAAGGATGCCAATCCCGTCGATCCCTCGCCCACGGTGGGCATCTTCAACGACGGCACCGAGCTGCGGATCTCCACCATTCGGCACGAGGACATCGGAGAGTACACTTGCATTGCACGCAATGGTGAGGGACAAGTCTCCCATACGGCCCGTGTTATAATCGCGGGCGGCGCTGTAATCATGGTAAAAACCTAAATACAAATCACTTAATTTTGAGATAAAACAGGGGGTGTCCCAGAGGTCTCTTCCTAACTGAAGTCCAGCCGGAAAAAGCTCAGTGTCTCTAAAAAATTTACAAATTCCAACTAAAATAATAAGGCAATAACAAGAGATTTTAAATCTCTTATTAAAGTGTCCAAAAGTATGCAGTGAAAATGCAAAATATTTTGTTGCATACTTTCAGACAAATTCATGATAGATTTTCAAATTCTGGGACATCGACGTTTTCGGTTACTTTTCAAACCAACAGTCCCGAAATTCACCAGAGATTTCTGTGACACCCCTGATAGTAAACACAACCGAAGCAAGCTAGGGGAAGAGGATTGACTCGGGAGTTTTGGGCGGGGGTTGAAAAGCATTGGCGACAATAACCCAGGGCTCGCAGCAGGTACTAATGTGTAGTTTTATTCTCTACCCCCACGTGAAAACGAATCCCCCCAAAAACCAATCCCCAAAATAATCGTAGGATAAGGCGGCGCCCGACAAACACACCCGCACCAAGTCCAAGTCGAATGCCGTCAATGAGAGGCTGACCATACGTGTAAGTCCTGAACTGAACTCAAATGAAAATCGCTCCTTGCATTTTGCATTCTGGATTTCTACATTCCGCATACTGCATAATCTGTTCAACGCTTTTCCATTAACTGAGCCCAAAGCTGGCCACCGCCAAATTCCCATTCACAGAACAGACCCAATCACTCTGAATGCTCTGGGCTCTGAACTTTGGGCTTTAGGATTTGAAGAGCAGCTGGTAAAGCGGCTTCAGAATTCACCAGACCAGACCAGACCATGTCCAGATTCCAGATTCCGATTTCGATTCAGAGGGGGGTTGAGTAAGGAGCAGCCCCCAAAAACGAGGAAAAAACCGTAACAAGCGTGAAACTTTTTGTGCCTCCGTGTGGCCTCCATCCGGCCCGTATTTACATGCCAGAAAGGGCAGAACCCCTAGAAAACACCCCCCCCCCCCCATAAAACAGCTAAACAGAAACTGAACAGAACAACCAGCAGAAGGAGGAGCACTCGGTACACTTGACATGGTCATTCGCCTAGTCTCAGGCAGATCCCCCTATTTACAACCTGCATACAAGCATGCTCACATGCCCCACACCCACCCAGACCCACCAACACCCCCACCCACCTTACAGCCCACTTTCCACCCCGTTCCGGGGAAACCTTCGTGCATGTGTGGGTGGAACATGGCCGTCGTCGTCGTCTGTATAGCATACTTTTGTGCGCGCCCGCTAATGCATTTGCATTTCGGTTATTTACAGTTAGCAACTGCAACTGCAGCAGGGGAGGCAGGCAGATGGGGGTGCGACTAAGCCTGCACAGCGAGAAAAATGTGATAGTAGTAAAATAATTATATAAATTCATAATAATTTCAAAATAAATAGTTTAATTGTTAATCTAACATTATTCTGAATTTTTCTCGGAATATATTCCATAATCATAATAGATTCATATAAGGTAAAGCAACTCAGTTCACTTAGTTATGAAATAACCAAGTATAGGTAGTTGTGTTAAGTTTTAAGAAATATTGAAAATACAAGTAAGTGCTTTTTCTTTGATTTTCTGGACTTTTTAAAATGTGATTTACATAAGTAAGATCCATTTTCCTCACTGTATCTTACAAGCAATATTGCCTTTTTGGTCTATCCTTGCTGGCTTAGGGCTTTCCTTTTCCGCCTTGCATGCACAAAGCGGTTGGCGTCTTGGAACTTGGCTTGAACTTTGACCTTTTGCTGGCTTTTCAGGCCAGCCAAGAAAAGCAGGCAGCAGTGGGCTGGGCAATTGCACATACCTCGTGCTTCAATTACTGCTCAACCGTTTTGCAGCAATCTGCGCATAAATATTGCAATAACATTTATCTGGCCACAGGCAAAGTGGACATTTTATGGATGACCCCAAGGGAAATCGAAGCCAGATCGAGCCAATTCAATTTACGAGGCCATTTCGGGCAGCAACAGCAGCGGCCAAAGCAAAAGCAAAAGCAACCCACATCAATTTTGGCCATAACTAAAACTAATTCAAATGAAACAGTCTGCCAGCAAATTGCCCGAAGGCAAAGCGGCGGCAAATGTGCCCATTAAATAAGCCAAGCTCCACAGAATGCACTCATGCAATTACGGCAAGGACGAAAAGGACGAAAGGGGTTCGGTCCGTAATGTTTGGCTCCTGACATTTGACTGACAAGTTGTCAATGGCAGAGGAGGGGATATCAGGCAGTTTCGGGGGGAGCATTTCATAGCTGTGACAGCACAAAATGTTATTTCTCGGGAGCGAGTGCACACAAAGGATATCGATGACGGCGACAGCCAAAAATTAGCTGTCAAGCTCCAGGCTCCAAAAGGCAGCGGACGACCAGGGGTGGTTCCTTCTCATGATTTGAATTAGTCAACAGCCAACAGTCAGCCATCATAAGTTTGCAGTTCGTTACCCGTGTTTGGAACTACCTGTTCTGAAAGTATCTTTTCGCATTCCAAAAACACAGGTGCCCCCGACCAACCAAACGAAGAACGAGGGCGAAAAAGTGATATTCTCCTGCGAGGCTAAGGCCATGCCCGGGAATGTCACGGTGCGCTGGTACCGCGAGGGATCCCCCGTGCGGGAGGTGGCCTCCCTGGAGACCCGGGTCACCATCCGCAAGGACGGCTCGCTCATCATCAACCCCATCAAGCCGGACGACTCGGGCCAGTACCTCTGCGAGGTGACCAACGGCATCGGCGATCCGCAGAGCGCCTCCGCCTACCTCAGCGTCGAATGTGAGTACTGGGATATAATTTAATAAATGAGATTCAATCATTGTATTCATATAATTAGTTATTACTTTAATACGTCTGTCCCTATCTACTTTTCCTCAAGCACTTGTCATAACTTATTATTATACGCTTTGTAAGTCTTATACAATTCAAACCTATGAATAAAAGTAGAGCATTCCGTAAATTTAACATTGATCGAATAAGACTGTTAGCCTTCTGTCGTAAATGTCCCTATCTACTTTTAATCAAACGACTTTAATAAAAATTGAAACTGCAAACTGAGCTTTATCATCAAATAAAAAAATTTTGTACATGTGTAACACAATTAGTTCACGTTATTATCAGGCTATTCCCATCCATTTAATATTGAATGATAAATAAAACAGGCAAATAATTAAGACCTTTAGTTGAAAAACCATTCTTCACTGTAACATCTATTTACCACTTCCGCCCCCTTCCTTTCCAGATCCCGCCAAGGTCACCTTCACGCCCACGGTGCAGTACCTGCCGTTCCGGCTGGCCGGCGTGGTCCAGTGCTACATCAAGTCGAGCCCCCAGCTGCAGTACGTCACCTGGACGAAGGACAAGCGCCTGCTGGAGCCCTACCAGATGAAGGACATCGTGGTGATGGCCAATGGATCGCTGCTGTTCACGCGGGTGAATGAGGAGCACCAGGGCCAGTACTCCTGCACGCCGTACAATGCGTTGGGAACGGCTGGTGCCTCCGGGATCATGGACGTGCTGGTCAGGAAGCCACCCGCCTTCACGGTGGAGCCGGAGACGCTCTACCAGCGGAAGGTGGGCGACAGCGTGGAGATGCACTGCGACGCCCTGGAGGCGGAGGGCACCGAGAGACCCACCATCAAGTGGCAGCGCCAGGAGGGCGAGCAGCTGGCGGAGTCGCAGCGCAACCGCATCAAGATCTCGGGGGGCAACATCACCATAGAGAACCTGCGGCGGGAGGACTTCGGCTACTACCAGTGTGTGGTGTCCAACGAGGTGGCCACCCTGATGGCCGTGACCCAGTTGGTGATCGAGGGCACCCAGCCCCATGCCCCCTACAACATCACCGGCAAGGCCACCGAGTCCTCGATAACGCTGCAATGGCTGCCGGGATATAGCGGGGGATCGGAGTACAAGCAGGACTACACCATCTGGTTCCGGGAGGCGGGGGTCAACGACTGGCAGACCATCTCCGTAACGCCCTCGGGCAGCACACAGGTGACCATCAACGGTCTGGCCTCCGGAACCACCTACGAGTTCCAGGTGGTGGGCAGGAATGTCCTCGGCGACGGGATGATGAGCAAAGTGATGACCGTGCGCACCCTGGGTAAGTCCTCTGGATCCTTTCGTACCTCTCTCTTTCGTTCGCTTTGCTCCTTCCGTTTTTGGGTTCTTGCTGCAGTCGCATATCCCGGCATATCCTGCACATAATCTCATGAAAACTGCACAAACTGAATCTGGATTGGCTCTAACATAACGCTCTTGTTTTTCTCTCGTTTTCTTCTCTTTTCCTCACCGACCTCCTCATCGAAAAACAAAACCGCTACTCGATCTCTAACTTTCTCATACTAATCATGCGCGCAATCAAATGCAAACTGTCAAATGCCAAACCGCGACCACGAATTTTTCCTGGGAACCACGGAAAATTCGGGTTCAATAGAAGACGCTCCGGCAGCGCCACGTAATGTCAAGGCTGCAACACAACCGCCCGACTCATTCTTTCAGCTAATGCCAGACGAAGCTGGTAAGAGAAAATACCCAAAAAAATAAAAACAAATCCCTAGAATGCGTAGTTGTATATAAGAATCGGAATAGACCGGATCAGCAATCGCAGCCACCGACGTACAAGGATAAAATCCCTCTAATTTTAAAGTGGTTCCAAGGGATTATAGTTGTTGCGCCAGCATTCGTTTCACTGAATGATGTATATACACCAAAATTAAACAATCCTTAAAGGGGGTAGAAAATAATGAGTTCCTTTTTTTTGAAAACCAAAATCAAATATATATTATAATGCATGATTGTGTAGCTCCTGTTGTTGTCTTCTCTTTAAGTAACTAGATCAAACAAGAAAAGTTAGATAGCTAGTTGCCCCTCAATTATGTTCAGATGTGATTATGTAGGATTATGATTTTTTTATGAGGCTAGAGCTTGTAGAAACCATTTCCCTCCTTATAAATATGATAGTTTCTCCGTTCCCAACCCTAATATGCATGAGGCTTGAATGCTACCCGTACCAAAACTGTAAATACCCACATTTGTTTTTCCATATTTCACCAAAATCTTGGAGAGTCTGATTTCAATCAATTTCCCTACCGACTGATGGGCACTTCCCCTTACTTACCCCACTTGCGGCGACCGCAGAGCAATATCCCACTCCTCTCCCCAATGAATTCAATATTCATTTCGGCTTTTGGGGCCAGCTACGAAAAAAGCAACAATTAAATATTCAAACCAATTATACAGGGCTACCCATTTATTGGCTGCCAAAGAACACGCCCCAAATTCCCGCCGTTTCCCACGGGGCATAATTTGCCACATGTGCCGGGGCTTCTGGTCCTGCGAATATTACATTTGTGGCTCTCACGCACACAGGACTATCCTGATCTCCGCTCGCGTGTGTGCGTAATTAAAACAGTTTGGGCCCCGCATTTAATTATTTAAATTAATTGAACTGTTTTTACAACTGGGCCGCCGTGTCTTGCAGGTTGTGTATGCGGTCGATATGACAACGCCCATGCTCACTCCGTAATTTAAACAGCCATATTACCAAATGCCGAGCACATTTACCAAGGGCGCCCCTGCCACGCCCCCGTCTAGATCCTTACGCCCCCCCCCCCCCCCTCGACTTTTCCGTAGGTGCGGCAATTTGAATGCCTTTGTCGACGTTGCCGCGTGTTTTTCCAACCGCTTTGCGATAATAGTTAATTTTATCCCTGCTCTCTGTCTCTTTTGCTCCTTTGTTGTGTAGTTAACCCCCCCCCCCACTCTCTGGTTTTGTATGTGTATGTACACCCCCACCCCCACCCCTGTCAAAACACACACACAAATAAATGTTTTCCCCCATTTAGCGTATTTAATTTAGTCTGTGTGTGTGTGTGCGTGTATTACAGTGCGTATACGTGTTGGCGCACGCGTAGGTTTCGAAAAATGAGGAAAAACGCTACAAAATATCAAATTACAACAACAAAACCAGCAACAAGGACGACGAAAAACAAAAAGGCGGCAACTCTGGCGGCAAATGTGCGCCGTGTTGTGTAATGCAACCCTGGATTTCGTGTACGTGTGTACCTTTTTTGGCGCTTGTAACGAAACACCTACCAACACCAGAACCATCTACCGCCCATCCACCCACAGACACCACCCACTGTAGACCACCCACCGCCCACCGCCCACCGCCTCATTTCATCCTCAGCAGCCCAGAAAACAACAACAGCAACAACAAGAACAAGAACAGTAACTAAAACAACAACAGCAGCTAAAGCAAACGCCTCGCAGAAATTGTATTTCCTTTGGCTTTTATTTTCGTTTGTGCTCCTTGGTCGCTGCTTTATTTTCCTTATAATATTTCCATTTTTTGTTTTAAGTCCTGCATAAAACATCAAGGGTAAACCATTTGCCACTGCCCCACCACCCACCGCCCACTTCTGCATCTGTGTGTGTGAATGTCCGTGCCACATTTGTTTATGTCGAGCAATTTTCATCCGCCATGTAGACCCGCTGACGCTGGCATTTGCTCACACTGAACCACCCAACCACCCGACACCCACTGAAATGAAATGGGTGGTGCAGGGTGGTGCAGAGCGGTGCGTGCTGCTTTCCCTGCTGTTTTAACCATACGGCGCAGCGCTTAAAAATTAATAATAACAATGCGAGCAGCAGGCAGCGAGCTCCTTCAACATTTGCAGCATTTCTGCCCTGACATTCGTGAAATTAAATAACTGGGGAACGAACTAGGGTTACCCTACACTCAGCATTTACGTTAGCTTAAACTAAGTCACGACAAAGAAGAGCCGACCTTAGTCAATAGCTTTCATAACGGAATAGGGTTACCACCATTAAAAAAACACAAATAGTAAATATTAGTATTTATCAAAGAATAGAAAACGTTTTATAACAGCGAGAGTCCCCGAATTAGTCAGGGTTTTTTTAGATTTATAAGGGTGCCTAAAAGTATGCAACATTATAATTTGTTATTCGCAAGTCCTAAAGCTTCAACCAAAAACCGACACTTATTTTTTCACTGCATACTTTTAGGAACCTTTAAAATTCATATCTAAGCCCCAGTGATTCCACTGTCAAACCAAACCAAATAGTTTTTATAAGGACTTAAGATAAATAAAATTTTCACTTTCCGACACATTCAGACCATTGATTTCTGGGCCAGTGCCTAATCTGCCCGATCAACCCAGTATCCAACCACTTGGCATGCCCACCAGAAGAAGGAGTGAAATCTAAATGCGTGTCAAGGCTGATAATAAACGAAAGCCCACACATGTGCACTTATGAATATTCAATGCATTTCACTGTCATAATTACAGCTCGGTCTTTGTTGCCGTGCGGGTTTTCCAGTTCTTGGGGCAGCAGAATTTGCATTCGATCAAGGTAAACTTATCGAGGACTCGATGCGAGCGATTGAGTTCCTCTCTCTGACCTTTGAGAACGGTGACCCCGTAGTTAGCACACTATTCGGTACTTGGACTGCACTTTCTTTCAATTTTCCAAACACGCACCTCCCCCCTTGCACACTTTAGTTTTAATTATTTACTCGACTTGATTTGATTTGAATTTTGTGTTTTGTGCTCTTGTGTTTCTGATTTATTTGCAGACCTCTTAGCCTATTTTGACATTTACTTTCACACCGACTCGCACGGCAAGCTAGTTTACTCGCCGCCCAAATTGAGAGTCAAAGGTACTCGTATCAAACATCACTACATAATACCATGTTAGGGTGTTCAGTTAAGTTGAAATGTGTTAAAGTTGTAAGTTGGCGGTAAAACGCGAATTCTTCAGTTGAAAATGGAAAAATGTAGATTTTTAAATTCTCGCAAATTCTTGAGTATTAAAGGGACTTTTTGCCATTACCTGGGACCTAAAAACGACTGTTGAGACAAATCTTACTACTTTACGACCAAGTTGACATTACTACTTGTTATTATTTCCGCACAAGTACACCAGTAGACATCATTGCGGATACTGCTTACACTTTTACACATTTAAACGCCTACAACTTAACTGAACAACCTATATAAGTCCTGCCTTGTATTATTTTTCCCTCATATTTTTTTCCACTTGCAAGTGGCGCTTAAGTAATGTCTCTGTCTTGTGAAACAGCTAGTAATTCCTGCAAGCAAACTGCAGATTTACTGCGGGTCACCCTGAACCCGCCCCGAAAACCCTGCCCGAATCCCCAGTGCTGCAGTCATAAATAACATTTAACCGTGCGACGGTGCCTCGTGCCTTTTTGTACCCTTCCGCCGACCCTACTACCCTTGACATTTTTACAGTCCGTCCGTCTGTGTCTACCCATCTCATTTAGGCCGCTTTTCCCAGCCGCTTTTCCCGGGCCATTTTGCTTTTTATGTTTGTCACTTGTCTCGTTTATGTTATGTCAAATCTGCGCACATTTTTTATGCGGGCCGAGAATTAAAGGGTTGCTACTGCTGCTCGCTGCTCGCTGCTCATTTCTGCCCCATTCGCATAATCAACTTTTGATATATGCGAGTACGGAGAGTATGCGCTTTCCAAATCCCGCGAGGGCTCTTTAAAAGCATTTTTAATTAACATACATACATACATAATGAGCGTGGCATTTTTCGTTAGCGCCATCTCCATCGTCATAATAAATGGCTTGCACTTATTGCCGCACGTGGGGAACCCCCATTTCCCACTCCGAAAAGTAAACCCCATATCCCCGCTTTCGCACCGTCAGCTCATCCGAACTCCACACCATGACCATACATCGTTTTATGCTGTTCAAAATTTCATAAGCGCCATTGGGAGCTACGAATTGGGCCCCATTTACATGACACATTGTGTATTTCTCCAAGCAGTTTTAATTTGCATTTGCATGTGCGACAAGCCGAGTCCTCCAGAATACAGAATACAGAATGCCGAATATCCCATGGAGACCGGCAGTTAATTGCATCGAGCACGAGCACGAGTTCTCCAATCAGGAGGTCCTGACAAGCGTACCGAGAATTCAGGTTATCTATGCCTATAATTCGTTTCCATACACTCAGGAGAATCCTTTGGTATTTTTTTTGCGCCGCCCCATCCATTTGCAAACTCAAACGGAAGGAAGTTTGAGGGCCCCCAAGTATTCAAATGCGATATACGAAATACGAAAATGGAAAGTTTTATGTGTGTATGCTAATTAAAATGTGTTTTTGTCAATTCCCCCGCAGCCAGGAAAAGGTTGCAAAGAGTTGCAAAAAGCCAAATGGAATTTTCATAAAGCTTTTAAGCGTTGCGAAAAAATGAAATAAGTAAAATCTAAAGCAAATAAGGGCGAAGCTTACACTGGAAAATAGCACATACATAGTTCTTACTTAAAATAGATTGATATATATGGTTAAAACCTTTCATTGGTAAATATAATCAAATTTAAAGTAGGACCATTTGTTCTATAGAAATTGGGGGAGGCTAAGTAGAAAATCCCTCGCGCAAATAAACAAAGCATAAAATGAAAAGCAAATAAATCAAAATAAATAATGCAAGCGATTTAGGCAGCATACACTGAAAATAGTTTGCTTTAGAAAGGGGAAAAATAAAAAGGTTAAATACGAAGGTTGACTGTTTGTAACCCATTAAGTGATATAAACAAAGAGACCCTGAAGAGGAATTTAATGATTTATTTATAATACTTAACAATACAACTCCCCTCAAATGTTTTCAATGTATGCATATTTCGATGTCGGATTTCACCTTTGTACGTTGTTGGCAATTGAAATGGCTTTAAATTGCTGACTGGAAAACAAGGCAGGACAAAAAGCAGGGCTCCCACCCCATTTTACCCATTTTCCGTGTACACTGCACATACTAATGGATCGTTTTTGCTCTACCTTCCCTCCCCCACCCCAAATGTACACAGGTCCCAAGCCAGGACCCCCGAGGAACGTTTCCGTGACGGAGGTGTCGAACGGGTTCCTCATCACGTGGCAGTCGCCGCTGGAGCGGGCCCACATCGTCAAGTTCTACACCATCAAGTACCGGACGGACGCCCAGTGGAAGACCCTCAACCGGGGACAAATCCGGCCGGAGGAGACCCAGTATCTGGTGAAGAACCTGGTGGGCGGCAGGACCTACTACTTCCGGGTGCTGGCCAACTCGGAGAAGTCCTACGAGTCCAGCGACGAGGTGAAGTTCCCTGTGCCGGCACGTGTCAAGCACAAGGCGATTACCGCCGGCGTCGTTGGGGGCATCCTGTTTTTTATTGTTGCGATCATTTTATCGGTTTGTGCCGTAAAAATTTGCAATAAACGTAAACGACGAAAACAGGAAAAAGGTAACACTGAGGCTAAAGCTAACACACACACTTGAAATGGTTTTTGATGACAATCACTAAAAATGCTAATGCTAATGATAATGCTAACGATATAGATGTACCGATAACGATAACGATCGATCACAAACAGTAATCGTAATAATCGATGACGATGTTCTTGTTGTTGGCGAACCCAAAACCATTATAATTGTAATTATGACTAACCCCCAGCTAACTAACTGCCTAACGTACTATTAATTAAATACATTTCGAGTTTCCGACGGCGCAGGCCACCCAATTATCGATAACTTGGAACTGATTACCGATAACCATTACTTGCCGTGCTTTTATGAGTTCAAGTTTTCCTCCTTTGGCATTCGAGCTTAAAATATTGGTTTGTTCGACAACAACAGCACATTGGAATTTGCATTTGAAACTGTCTGTTTGCTGAAAGTAAAATATTTGACAAAATTTCTGAGCCGTCGAGGCGTTTGATATGAAATTCTCCATAAATTATGCCTGTCTGAGATTTTGTATGATTTGTACTTTTTCGTTGTAGTTGTGCAAGTAAAATTGAGTTACAATTCGGCAAAAGTTGCTGAAAAATCTCTGTATATATATTTACATACTAATTGGATTTCGGTTTGCTTTTCCTTATTTGGTTATCCTTCTTTTTGGTTCATGATTTCGTTAGCCCTGAGTTCTGATTTCTTCTTTTCTGGGCCTAAGAACCCCCTTGTCCCCTGCTCGTCCCCGCCCCTGGTCCACCCCAATCCATTTCCGTAGACAAAAGTGACTCCCAAAGATCTAAGTTGCAAATCGGCCATCAGACCTCTGAAATTATCAGTTTTTGTTTGCATTCCATTACTTAAGCCTTCTGTTCGTATCATTGGGCCTACATATATATCTTTTTTGTGTAAACTCAATCTGGCTTCATAGCGCTTTGCAGCCTGTTTGTTTTCGAATTCAACGCATGAACATATTACTAGTTGTTGCCACTTTAGTTAAGCAATCGATTAAGCTCCATTTGCGGGGGAACTCCTTTCGAAAGCAGTATGAAAACCCGGCCAAAGTTGAGAGGAAATTGAAAATGCCAGGGCCAGAGGACCCAACCAGAACCCCGACCAGGACTTCCAGGACATCCATTATTTGACGCCCGCTGGCTTTAATGCAATCGAATCAAAACCCGGACCGAAACCGACCATTTCGAACCTCTGTCTCTGCCTTTTGTTATGGTTTTTGCTTTAAACTGTATTTTAAGTGGATTAATTAATGTTGCGTTGTTTAAATCAATTATTTATGTATTCTTTCCGAGACCCCCCTCCCCCACACACTTACACGACACAGAAAAAAAAATAACAAAGAGCAGGGAAATTGCGAATTTTTTAAATCAATGCAGCCCATTAACTGCGAAATATGATGTACATACGTATATTGAATACCGAACACATTGTTCTACATTTTTTCCGTAACTACTTTTTTTTTGCTGTGGTAAGCACATTACGATAGATTAACGTAAAACCGCTAATGATATAAATGTGACAAGCTGATAACGCTGATGATGATAGAAATACCTTTATCTCCGAACCATTGACAATCATGTTCTTGGCCAAATCGTCGTTGTTTCTGCCCAGGGCTGAGTTCATGACAGATAAAGGTATTTGAAGAGATATTTGCAGAGAGGAAACCACATCTATATACATGGCGAATGACCATTTATATAGCGCAATACTGGGCAGACGTTTTTTGTAAACAATTCACGCACAAAGATGGTAAAAGAGGCCCCCAAACCATGTCGATAGAGCACTCGCATAATAAGACCAATACCGAATCCAAAGCATAAAATGATCGCGTCGTCAATAGATTCGTTATGTCTGGGGTCCTCCGCCCCTGTCCGCCCAACCTTGGGGACTTCAATTGGGTATTACCATACCCTATACCACATCTATTATATCTTTTGAAGTCCGAGTTGGGCAGTCAAAGGGCGGAGCGACCGTGCAACGCAAAATATGAGTAATGCTATAGTAAGACCCCCTAAAACCCCAACATCGATGCAAGCAAGGGTAAGTTTTTGCAATCATTTTAAGTCGATGTCGTGTGCCACAGATCCTGAGTACTGACAACTAAAGGTTATTTTCAGACGAGTTCCCACCACCCCACCAACCAGAACCAACCTATCAAGAACCAACAACCAACTAACCAACACTGACATCACCACAACCATCGATTAAGCATCTGCATTCCACTTACAGTCCGCAATCCGTCGGTTACAAGTTGTCAGTGCCTCTCTTCTCGGGCAGATCGCTCAGATACTGCCGAATATACATCTCAAGCACCCCACACATTCCACAGATTTCATAATTACCCAAAAACCAACACACAAGCACTGCCAAACGAAACAAAAACAATACTTCTCAAACACTTTTCGTTTTTTGTGTGTCAATCACAAGTTTTTGTCGCTTCTCCTCAGTTTTTGTTTTTGCATCCCCCATAATCCCCATATAATCAGCAATATTTGGTTCTCGATTGCATTAAACTTCAGTTCTTATCTCTCAGTCTCTCTCTTTTCCGTTGGCACAATTCGTAACTTGACCATTTAAAAGCCATTTCACGTGTCATTGTTTTTTCCAACCATTCGAAGCCAGATCCTAAATAAAATACTGCGAAGAGCACACGGCTGTGTATATATGCACCTCGGAGTGTATATGCTATATGGTATATAGCAGGTTTTCGCATATAGCCGTATATATGTGGGTGTCCCCAAATAGTTTGTCATCGACAACCGTCAACTGGCCGGAGGAGCATTAAGTTTCGATTATGTTGGCATTGTTATTCCTCGAACCCGTAGCCGCCGTTCAATTACCCAAACTCCGAATCACTAATTGGCATTGCTCCTTCTGCCCCCAACATGTAATTGCAACCCAATCAACTGAAACTAAAACTGAAACCAACTAACAACATAGTTTAGTCGTAGTCATCTAACTGCTAACTGGTAAATGGCAACTGTTATCTGCTAACTGGCGACTGTTTAGTGTCCTTTAGTAATAGCCTAGTTACTGCTAAAATTTAAACAATCTAAACTTATTAGCGACGACAACTGAAACAACATTAGTGTGTAATCTGGCGATGCTGGCATGCAAATTGGCATAATCAACGTGGGCAGGTGCACAGCGAGAAAGATTTCGATTAAAGTTAATTTGTATACAATTTGTAATGATGATGATGTTTCTTATATTTCTTAATAAGGTGCCTGAAAGTATGTAACATTTTTTATTGCATACTTTTAGACAGATTTGTAAAAGGATTTCAACTTCCCAGTGGTATAATCATAATCTCCAAATTTAAAGCCAAACCCTAAAGACAACAATTTAAAACCCCTTTCTCCCTGTGCCAAGGACCTCAATTTCAACCCGTTCTCGACCAAAATCAACAAACAGCCGCGTTATGCCAGGTTGTCCCTGATTTAAGCAGAATTTCGAAAGAGTGTAATCGCATTTATATACGTCTATATGTAGAGAGCACCGTAGTAGATATGCATATGCATAGACATATATCCGTGACCGTCGTGTGTGTATATATAGAGTGTGTGTGCTTGGTAGCTATACGTACGGTGTACGGGTATTTTATTTACCGGATAGGACGGCTCACGCTGCACGCCAAATTAATTTTAGAAATTATACGTTTGCAGAGTTCAACATGGTAGCTTGCAGGATAACGGACGCTCGTAACATTGCCGCCAATAATCATCATTTGCACAATCGCAGTACGGGCTCAATTTCCTCTGGTCAAGTGCCTTTAAAAAAGTGAGTATCCCCTTAGGTGGCATATCTAATCTGACTCTAAATTCTCCCCCAAATTCGCCCAACTGCAAACCTTATCTGAATCTGTATCTTGTCATCTATCTGTCTACCCATTTCACTCTGATTGGCATCCGCCATGCACGTTCCACCGATCTACTCTCGCTCCATAGCAATACTGAACATTACCGTGATTATGAAAGCGTTTTTATAGTTCCAGGTCCATCCTGTCATAATCAAAATCGTAAGCAAACTTTTCTCAAACTTAATCAAAGTTTTCTTTAGTTGAGTTGCCTTCAGTTAAGTGATTTCTTGGTTATTCCCTTGTGTTTAGTTTTGCATGAGGGGAACTAAGGGGTTCCCTTAATTCCTCTTTAGAAAATATTAAAATATCGAGAAAGAATGAAGAGTTGGCTAAGTCGATGTTCTTGAAACAGTTTAAGAAGGTGTCTAAAAATATGCTTTAGAAAAACTTCGTTTATTGTAGCATACTTTCTAACACTGTTTTGGATACTTGACCTTTTAGAGCTTTCTGTGGCAAGCTCAACTTTCTCGTTTATATTTATTTCCTTAAATTTTCAAATACCTTGTTTCTTTTCATTGCGTTTTTGATTATTTGTTTATATACCGCCCTTACTAAAACCTCTTCTTCTCCCCCGCACAGGTACAAACAAACCCGAATATCAAGTCTAACCGCCATTCTCATTGCCATCCTCCACTGGATCTGGCCACCTGATCGCTGCACCAACTGCCACTCCATCTACAGTTCTCCGAACCTCGAGGATGGCGATGAGGAGGGCGGAGGAGGAAGGAGGCGTTCCGTAAGCCGCATCCAACGAAGCCTCGACGGACGCTTTGTGCTGGATGTGGAGGGGGTCTCGAAACTGGGATACTCGCAACAGACCCTGGAATCGGCAAATGTGGATGTGGTGGACGGTGGCGGTGGGCTCTTCGAGCGGCGCAACAGCAACGTCTCCCAGAAATCCTCCAGCGATGATGGGGGATTCCTGTCGCGGCGGAACTTCATCACGGCTCGGGCTTCCTGGCGACGTCCCCTGGTGGCCTCCTCCAGTCAGCTGAGTCTCCAGTCGGCGGCGGATTCGGCCCGGGGCTTCCTCCAGGGCCTGCTGAAGATCGGGGGCAAGCAGGCTTCGGTTCCTAATCCGCAGTCCTACTTCGATGAGGCGGTGAGTGGAGCCCGCTATCAGAATGTCCTGCGTCCCTACACGAGCAGCAATAATTTGTATGGAAATGCGGATAGAAGTAGGCCTCTGCACATTAACACGATCAGTGGCAGTCTCAGCCAGCAGCAGCAGCAGCAGCTCTATACCCCCTCGAGGATCTCCAGGATATTCTCCAGTTCGCCCCAGCAATTGCAGCCCCATCATCAGCAACTCTTGCTCACCAGCGGTGGTAGTGGAGCCTATCCCACGCATTTCAGCGACCTGAGCACCGTGTATCCCCCGAATTCCGCTGAGCGATCTTCCCATAACCTAAGCAGTAGATATAGGTACTACTCCCAGGAGCTGCCCTCGTTGAGAACCATTCAGGAGGAGACCCGCCGGCAGCAGCAGCAGAAACAACATCCCCTGGAGGATCACTTTGTGCCGCTCCAGCTGCCATCGCCTCCCTCGTGGAGGAGTTACTACCAATCGCAAGCCAGCTATCGCCCAAGGACCCGCTGGTATCCACGTCATCACTCCAGGCTCTTCAGCAGCCGCCAGCAGCAGCACGAAATGCTTTCACCTCTGCCCCAACTGAATCTCAACCTGCGCAACTCCATGAATCCCGGGGGCTTGGAGGCCTCCCCAGAATCCCGCTCCAGTTCGAGTGGGTTTGGTTCGAAGAACACCTCAAACCACCCGGGGAGCACCAGTGAATGGAGGTTACTACCGCCCTATAGAGCACCTCCGTCGCCACCCAAGCATTCGGGTTACTTTGGAGGTCAGCAGGCCCAGGGACAGACGCCGCACGGTTCCTACTCGTATCCCCGGGCCACCACGCCGCCCTATACGATGGCCCACTGGCTGGAGATGATCTCAAGACTGAACGCGGCCACGGATAGTAACCTCCCGAAGGCCCCCTGTCCCGTGGACGTGGGCAGTGTGGATGGGCACTACGAGTTCGATCCGGCCACGCCCACACCCAGTGCATCCAGCATGCTGCGCGAAGATCTCAACCTGCACATAGATACGCATCCCTATCACCACCACACACTGGGTCCCCTGAGCGGGAGTCTGCTGCACAGCCATGCCCCCTACAGTGGGGGACTGGGCGGAGGACTGGGAGGCAGCAGGAAGCCACGATCTCTACCGATTCACCTGCCCCGCTACGACAACGTGGAGGTCAGACTGCAGGCCATGAGGGAGGAGTTCTATGCCTACCGCAAACGCCAAGCGATGCAGCAAATGGAGAGCGTTTGCTGAGCCAATGAAGCATTTAATTGAGCCCCAGCCACACCCACTTGCCAGCCCAAAACCACTCCCACAAAGAGCCAGATTCACGGATGATAGATAGACCGACAAAGTTGGACAGCAATCAGACGCGATATGATATTGGATCAGGCCCCCGCAATTCAGAGATGAACTTTAAAAGTTTGGCCCCCTGCAAACTCACACCCAGAAAAGCAAAAGCAAAGCAAAAACAAAACACTTAGAAGCCAGAAACAATTAGTAGATTTAAAAAGAGATGAAAGCTGTGTACATATATTCGGGGGAGGGCCCCCAGAAGTTTAAGTATAATATTTAACAACTATAGCAATTATAGCAACATATTATTACAGAAATCGATAAACGTAAAATTGACATTTAACGCAAGTAAATGAAGCAAACACAAATTACAATTACAATTAACTATTATTTACGAGTGTATTAGATATTGATACTTAACGTAACACAGATCGAGATATGTTAAACATTGAGCATTAAACATTAATTAACAATCCACAAGCGTAAGCCTAAATTATGTTACCTTACAACTAAACTAAATTAATACGGAATATGCTAGCTGTTAAGCATTTAGTTGTTAACAACTAGAGAGCAGAAGTGAAGAACGAAGAGGCGACGACTCAGAATAAAAGCGCTAAAAGTAATTAAAACCACATATAGAGAAATTGTTTCATAATTAAATTATTTAACGACAAGAAACCTACAAAGCAAAAAACAAAAAAAGAAATCGAAGTAAAAACCAAAACAGTTTAACGAAAATTAAATGAAATATAACTGCTGCATATATGTTTACTGTTGACCTACACACGATAATTAACTCGAACAAATATTTATTAACCCAAAAGAAAAAGCAAAACACAAAGAATCAATCGAAGAAAGGAAAGGAAACCCAAAGAGACTATTCTTTCCGGTTAAGATCAGAGCCCAGTGAGAAAGCTAGAAGAAGGACCCCATATGATAGTTTCCCGGGTTCCCCAGGGCGATGGTATTTGGTCTTAGGTTATAGGTCAGTTGTGTAAAGACAGCTCCCCGGATGCAGCTTAGTTTAACGAGACGAGGCGTTTCTGTTTTTTAAGTATTGTTAACGATAAACGGATATTGATTAACGATTAACAATTAACGATAAACGATAAACATGTCTAAAGATCAAATTGTACGGAATGATGGTTTGACACAACTTGACGCCAAAACACTGCCAGAGCGAGAGAAGCGAGAAGACCGCGAGTGTGTATAACTTGTGTAAATTACAGAGCATATACAAACATAATACGATAACGATACCGATAATAACGATTACGATAACACTATTCAGGGGACGGTTGGAGCGCGAAACAAATCAAGAAATCAACTACGAATCAACCGACTAATGATCTCAAGCATTTCTTTTGGCCTTCAACTGCATACGTGTCTGTTTGCGAGCCCCATTTTTTCCGACCTCTGATTTTCCCCCTAACAATATGAGCCCGTCTGTCCGTCTGTCAGTTCTTCAAGTTCTTCAAGCGCGACCTGTAAGACCTATCCAGACCAGATGGGATTACCCCAAGGAGTAGGTCTTAGAGCTCCGCGCTTGTTGCGTTCTTAGGCCGCAGAGAAAGTCGTATTTAAATTGAGATATGATAAACTAGCATAGAAGTTCTGGGATGGGAGGAAAACTCGAGTTGTGTTGCAAGTATTTTGTAAATGTTGAGGGTATTCAAGTAAATAAGTTGATTTTTGTAATGCCTAGGACACCCACACTCTAACACGCCCACACTGAGAACACACACACATTAAACGTTTAACTAGAACGAAATAAATTAATTAATTAACTGAGCATTAACGGAAAGCGAACGAAGAGAGAAAAGCGCAAACGAATAATTGCAAAATGACAGCATAAATTGAATTTTAATTGAGCCACGGAGCCGAGAGACGTTAGGCGCAGGACTTTAAGGCAAATAGATACATATATGATTATTTATACGAACGAGTACGAGTGCGTGTATTATGTACATGCGGCACGTATATATGGATATAGATACTGGATTACACGGCATGTACATTAAGTAAGAGGAATACATTAAATCTAAGTTAAGTAAATCTAACGCTTTAGTCTGCCACTTTGATTTTTGGACAAGGTGCGCCAGTTAACTTTTCGACTCAACTCGACTCGACTCAAATGAAATGAACAAAAATAGGAACTATCAAAGGAAAACAAAATAAGAAATATAAGAAAGGGAAATCTATATTCTTTTGCACCTCCTTCCACTTCGACGACCATTTCGCCAACATTTCCCCGGAACACATTACTTACCAACTTTCGCCTCACTTCCCCCTGCCCGCCAACACACTTTCACTTTCCAGACTTTCCACTTCCACTTTCCCCACTGCAATTCCAATTCAGCATATATAAATCGTACAAGGATAAATCAGTTTAGAACGAAATATATTGTAATTAATACAGACACACAATTATAAAGAGAAATTAGCAAAATGAACAAAATTTTTAAACAAATAAAACTTACAAAACAAAGCAAAAAAAAACAAACAAACAAAAAACCAAACAAAAAACAAATAAAAATACAAAACTTGAAATTGATCAAATAAACCGTAAACCTGTGTTTTCACTGCCCATTCCATCTGGAATATCCCGGAAGTTGGCCTTAATTGATGCCCCTTTGCTTCCACACAAAATATCACTCATACGCCACCGTGGCCAACCTGAAGATGACTGCCTGGCATTGGGGCAATTAAGGTAATGAAATTCACAAAAATTCCGTATAAATAACTCGCGGATGCACACTGGATATATCCGACTGGCAGGAACGATTGACACAGTTTTTCAATGAATGAATTCCCATAAATGGGAATCATGGCTTAATCTTTTATTGCTGGGAGAGTTCACTCTTGGGGCCAAATGCTATCTGCAACACTTTGGCGATCGCCTAATTATTTAAGTGGATAAACGTCTGCGAAAGCGAATTGTGGGGGAGACGCTTTCCAGACAAAGGAGACCTCATCAAAGCAGATGGCGTGGGCGTGTGTCAAATGTCAAATGCAGTCAAACGTTTGACAGGCGAGAGAAAAGAGAAGATCATAGAAGCAATCATCGCCTGGGATCGGGGTTGGTCGGCTCTTGGTTCTACTGCACAGAAGAAAAAACCCTCTATCTTTAAGCTAAATATCAAAGGGATACTTTGGAAAATTTAGAACAACCGGGTGCAACCCCTCAGCTATGAAGGGAATTTTCTTTTAAATGAAATCCTTTTAAAAAATATATTATTTTGATCGTATATCAGAACTGGGTTCAAATCCCACCTATGAATAAAAAATTTTTTTCCTGACTACCATTTAGGTAGTTACTTCAAAATCTTGTATTTAATCACCAAATGGATCATAACATATCACCACATTTTTTCTGTGTAGCATAGATCGCCGCAAAAGCTCAGTCTCATCCGTCACTCGTTCTGCAGTTTGATCTCGGTTCGGTCTCGGCATTCAGTAGCTCTTCTCCAGCCGCTCAGTTCAGTTCGCAACCCTCGAAAAAGCGCCGCAACACAGCCGTCGTATAATACTATACCTATACTATACCCGCACTATACCTGAACGGAACTGCGCACAAAGATATAGTACACAACGGATCGGGTTTCGTGCGCCTTAGAAAATCCGAATTCCGCGAGAGAGCTCTGCTTCGCTTAGAGCCAATTGACCTGATTTCGGGTTGGGGTTTTTAATTTGATTTTGCGCATTCTGGCAACGCGGAAACATTATGCAAGACACCGCGCGTGAGTGACCGAGTGCAAGTGCAGTACCCACAAGAAGCAAGAAAGTATCTGAATAAAATGCCAGCGAAACGCAGCAGAACACTCCGGCAGAGCGGCTCTTCCGGGTCTTCACTGCTGGCTCTTCTGGGGATTCTTTTCCTAGCGAGCATATCCTGGGCGAGCGGTGCCCGCGATCACAGGCGACAGACCAACCTGGAGGCCAAGGTGGGCTCCCACGTGGTCTTCAACTGCTACATCGACTTTCCCTTCGATGCCCCCATTCCGTACTTGGTGCACTGGAGCAAGGATGTAAGATACTGGGAAAAGCGATGAGTTAAAAATGTTATAAAGCAAATACAGTTCCAAATTTTATTTTTTTAAGTGCTCTGAATCTTTTTCTTTTTAGTTGAAATATTTTAAGTGAACCAGATATTTTAATATAGCTATTTACCAAACAAAACCATGCGAAAAAATGTAAATATCGAGCGAACTTTTTATCTGTGCTGGCCCACTCACTTATTTATGGCTCACGCCGACGCGCACGCAGTTCTTAAATGAAATTGTCGAAATTATTAATTTATCAGACACGTAGGTGGCCCAGACCCCGACCCCTGGACCCCGGAACCCGGGATTCTACAGAACCCCCCTCCGGCTGGCTGACTGACTGACCAGGGCCAGTCCGGAATGCTTGGTTAGCCTTAATTGCGTCTGCTGGATGCTGTTGGTGCAGCGCAGCGTGGAACGCGGCTCCCACATTCATTAAAAGGGTCGCACTTTACGACCGCACTGCAAGAATCCCGGTGGCCAAAAAGGGTTATAAGTAAACTAGATACTTATAAGTCCACCTGATTAGTCATCACAAAAATAGAGCTGTCCCTCTGGGTTTAATAATAAGGTTCTTTAAGTTTAATGAATGCCAAAGGTGTCAGAAAATATTTTAAGGTTGATTGTCATCTTACTCTTATCAGACAAGTTCAATGTGTGAGGATATTTTAAGGACTTTTTCAGACTGGCGAATTTTGATTGGTTGTAATCCTTCTCTTATCAGCCAAGTTGAAGCTGTGAGGGTTCACTTTTTAATCCAAAATTTGTTGCGACTTATGAGTTGATCATAAGTAGAGAGAGATAATGAACATTACTATTCTTAGGTGATTTTTCTTTTTCATATATGGTTCGATTTATCAGGTGCCAAATATATGTATAATAGTATCTAACAGCCTTAATGATTATAAAGAAAACGATCTATTATTTTTTCTCAAGCCAAATTAAAGTTCTATAAAATCGTTAGTATTGTCTGTATTTTTTGACAAGTGCAGTCAGCCATTGCATCGCAGAAAATGCAATCGCCGTGCCAGTGGGGTGGCTCCCCATCCGCATCATTCCCAACCCCATCCCGTCATCCCCGTCCCCATGGAGCACCACCAAGGTGGTTGTGTCGGCGGACTGGTGGGCTGGTGGATCCCCGCCCTTGGCTACTAATTAAAGCGCAACCACATGCAGTCGATCGGGTCGCATCCTGGCTGCATCGCTGCATTCCTGGCCGGCTCCTCCTCCTCGCTTCCGCTTCCGCCTCGCCATTCGCCATTTTCCATATAAAATTAAATTTAATTTGACGCGCCGAGGAGTGATTTCAGTATGGCAAACACTTTAAATTACCAACACATCACGTCGGGGCAAAAACAAATCGCGGAAAGCGAAATGCGAAGAGTGTCAGTGTGAAGTGTGACATCAAAGACAGCGGGGTAAGTGAACCAGTTGAAATCAATTTCAATTGGATTCAATCGAATTGAATGGCTGGCATTTTGTTGACAACTGTGAGTAATGCAATTTAATTCAATTGCAAATTCATTGCAATCCTCGCAGACAATCAGAGCGATTTCAGCGATTTTCAGACAGAGCAATATGTTCCGGCGTGCGTTAGTATTTAAATCGAGTGAATTACCATTCATCGCACACGCCCGTCATCAGTGGCCATCAGATGTCCACTCCGGACCCCCTTAACCCCTTAACCCCTATGCTGCCTTTGATTCAGATCACATCGCATTCCCATCGGTAATCGGGGGTCTGTCCCGCTTATGTTTTTACCTATTTAGCTGGCTGCTTAATTTGCTTTTTTCCCGCTGGTCACTCCCCTTTCCCATTGTGTTTCCATGCTTTTTGTCCACTCGGTCAGCGGGTCATGATGTCATTTTGATAGATACACTTTAATTGCGCTCGAAAAAATGGGTTTTTCTCGGCTATAATTAAACAAACTCGTACGCGCGATTTGGAGTCCACGGGCATATGCATAATCTGCCTGATTTATGGCCTTCCCTAATCT